GACAATGGCAACGTTGAAGGCAAGTTATATATGTTGAAGTTATTACAAAGTTAATCAGAAATATAAGCATCATTTTGCAGTAAAACTGCAAAACCGTAAACATCACTTGTCCAACAAATGATAGAAGATCTGAGGAAAAAAACTACAAAGACAGATGCAAATGTTTCATGCTGCTTAATGTTTTCAAATTCTTGAAGAGAATGAATGGAAAATTTTGTGATATAGTATTTGTCTTTCTATTGGTATTTCCAGTTATTTTCACCACACATGGTATCCATACTCATAATTTAATCTTTAACTTTGGGACATTGGACTGTTAAACGTGGTCATTGATTAGTGTTAGCTGCACTAAATAAGTACTTTAAGCAGTGAAGAAGTATTATAGTAGAAAATTTGCCAGGAAAGGAGCCAATCATTTCCATTTGAAGTGTGAATAACTTAAGCTCACGTTCATTTGAATGTGTCTTCTCCAGCTCTCATTCCAGTTGATGAGACTACATGTGACCTCAGGACAAACACATGTCCATGCTCTCCTATTCTTGAAGGAACTGTGTATATCCAAGTGATGACTGATGCTAGTGGCTGTGAAATGAAGTGTTTGAAGGTGCTTCCGAGGGGGAACATAACTGTGTTCAATCTGAAGAAAGAAAAAATAACAACAGACAAGGAATTTAACAACAGACTACAGTTTATAATCAAGAACGGGACATTCAAGATCACAAACCTGAAGAGGAATGATTCAGGTCGATACAGCATTGAGGTCTTTAATTCAAATGGAGTTCAAGAGAAAAATATTCATTTCACCCTGGATGTTAAAGACAATGGAAAAGTTAAAGGCAAGTTATGCAACTTACTCTTTATTGTATATTTTTGAAATTATTATAAAGTTAAACAGAACTATATAAGTATCATTTGAGGGTCATTTGATGTGGTTTTTGTACAGAAAATGTGTGCTTGTTTCACAGACGTTTTCAGTGTGTTTTTTTGATTGGTGTCTGACACTACCAGCTATGGTGGTGTGCTGAGGTTTAATCTATATAAGAACAATAAACTTTATTTACATGGCACATTTATTAACAAGGTTATTCACAGAAAGGGTTGGAAAGAATAGCAGATAAGCACAATAATAAATCAGAAACCATAAAAAAGCAAAGCACACTGGAGAAACCAACTTCGATTGTATCAGTGTGGATTTCCTGACAACTGAAATGGTTAATCAAGTATTGAGCCACAATGTTAACTGTGCAATGGTAGCTGAAAAAGTGCCAGATGCATTAGTTTTTGCACTTGTAACCTGATGCTTCAGCCTTATAAAAAAGTGTCTATTTCATATTGTGTTGCACACTCAGTGACATCATTTTTGATGAGCACCTTTGTAATTCCAAAAAATTTAGGTAATGCTTTATAGTAAATTGGTTAATAAATAGTAAATTCATAGATAAGTAAATTTACTTATTTTATGTTTCAAAAGAATGATAAAGATCTTCATAAATACAGAAATAATTGAAACTATCACTCTAAATACCTAGTAGTACATTTAAAAGGAGAGAGGAGGGTGGAGGAGGATCACGATACTTTTAGTTTTGCTTTCTCTAAGGACTAAAGTTACAGAGTTAAAAAAAAAAAGAAGAAAAACATTCTACTTTTGGTTAAAAAGCATTCACTCAGCACCCTGCAACTTATAAAAACAACACTTAAGAGTTCCGAGTGGGTAGGGGTTTGGTTCAAGCCAGGATGTATTGCACATGTTCTACTCATATCAGTTGCTTTGCTGTGAACATTAATGTCTCAATCTGTAATCATTCCAACAAAAATATGCATGTAAAGTAAAGTAAATATAGTTCTCATTAAACTCATTAAATAGTACATAAGAGAAAAAAAAGCAGACTATATTAAATGAGCTTCCATTTGCACAGTCGCCTTCCTTTGGGAAAACAACTGAACAACCTCTATTAAACCATTAAAATGTAGTTCACAGATGAAATGTAAAAACATGTTCTGACTTGTAGAAAAAAACTGGGAACCTGCTACATTTAAAATGGCTTAAAAAAAGTACTAGCTTTGAAATATACTCAAAGTAAGAAAGTAACACCAACTCCTTGAAGAATATTCAAAATTTTAACTTGTGAAGCTAGAACTAAACAAACAAAAAACCTAAAACACAGGAAATACATCAAAACAGTTTGGAAGAACCAAGGAAACACAAAGACACAAGGAAGGATAAGCAAACGCACTGAAAATGGATGAGGGGAAACTGACATAATATATATATGAGGGTGATTAGGGAAGAAGAAACACATGGGAAGCAAAACCAAATGCACTGAACTCGGGACGAAAAACTGTCAAAATGAAACAGGAAGTACACAAACACGTGACACAGAAACCTGGAGAAGAACGGGGGAAGAAACAAAGAGACAGATAAGACCACAGGCTCACACAAGCGACACAGGGGTGTGACAAAGACACAAGAGGAGCCTCACTAAACAAGAACACAAGACTAAAGCTGTATAAACTTGAACTTAAATCATCATTATAATACAAGGACCTAATAAATCTGATTTAAAAACATGAGGACTTGCATGTAAACTTCCAATTTCCAATTGATCAAATACCACTGAGCAGTCCTTGACTTTATATCTAACCTCTCTTCTTCCTCCGCCACTTGAACCCTTGACTTGCACACAGTTGTTCCTCTTTGATCTCTTTTTATGCGACATCCCCTGGTGATTAACACACAAACTAGATTGTATTCCATGCATTACTGTTTAGGCTCAAATCGGTTTGATGTTTGAAGGCATGCACTGATGAGAAATAATAACTCCTCTCAAATGTGTTAAACCAATAGTAAAAAGCCTGTGTTGAAAATGTAAGGAGTAGAACAAAACATTTTCAGAAAAAAACTATTCAAGTAAAGCACAGATACCTGAGAATTCTACTTTAGTACAATAACAAAGTGCAAATACAAAACTCATCTGTGTGTGTTTCTCTCAGCTCCAGTGTCCTCTGTCCTGCTGGTCTCAGAGTGTCTGTCCCAGGGAGAGATGAGGGTGTCCTGCTCCTCTGAGGGAGGGGACAGTCCTCAGTACAGCTGGACTCTAAATGCACGCACACTAACAGATGCTGAGCTCCTTCCTGGAAACAATGAGACTAACATCATCACTCTGAAACAGCACGTCTCAGGAAATCTGGTCTGCTCAGTCAGGAACAACGTCAGTAATGTCTCCAAAGAACAGAGGATATCTACCTGTGGTGAGTGAGAACAATACTGATAAAAGCTGATTCTTAGTGTAATTATTTTTTTTTAAGTTATCTCTTTATCTGTTCATAGGCTTTGTTTTCATCAGCTGCTCATTACTTAATGGGACACAGATGTCCGGGTGGGTGCATAAGTCCAGTAATACCCTTTGTCCGGAACCCACAGGAGACCCTACCACGGCCACACAAACTGCAGTGGGTAAGGAGAATAACATAGTGTCAAATAATCCTCTTTGATTAAACTGCCATCAGTAATGACCCAAGGTATTATTAAAGAGGGAAGATTAACTCTGATGAAGGGGATTAATTCATGTTTTTTTTTTCCTTTGTCTTATAAAGTATGGTATATAAGCAAAATTCTACAATGACTCTTCTTTCACCGCTCTAACTTGTCATAAACATTTAGTTTTTCTGCACAGGTGCTTCCTGGTTCATGTTTGGTTTGAAAGCCGCTGTGGTAATTATATCATTTAGTGGAATTTCGCTCTATTTCGCTTGGAAGAAAAAAACAATATTGGAGGGCTCTGCTGTCCCACAAAGGATGGAATCTCCAGATAACTCTGTTTTGATGATTGCATTGAGTTCTCACTCCAACACATAGTGTCACTTTTCACCTGCTGTACATTTCTCATGTGTCCTTATAGGCTTGTAAATAAGCATTAGTGGGGCGGGGTGGGGGCGGGGGGGTCATTCCACATTTTATTGGCAGCTTAGTATATTTTTAGTATATGTCAATATGTTTTTTGTGTTTTTATTATTCAAGAACAGCATTCCAGCAAAATATAATCGAAGTGGAAAATCAGAGAAAGATCTTTGTCTCCTTCTTTCATGTATTATTTATGTTGCAATTGTATTTCATCTGTCTACTTGAAATATATTCCAAAAAGACATTAAGCACATATGCTAGTATTTATTTTTTTTGTCATGGTGGCTGTGTGGATGGCAGAGGTTGGACACAAGACTTAGGCTATGTTCACACTGCAGGCGAAAGCGCATTAAATCCGACTTTCATGACCCTATGCGACCCATATACGATCATGGTATGACAGTGTGGACAGCACAAATCCGATATTTTCAAATCCGACCTGGGTCCCTTTCGTATGTGGTACTGAGTCCGATACACATCTGATGTTTTAGAAAGCGACTGCTGTTTGAATGGTCATGTTCATGGTCATTAAATCCATCTTTTATGTCACTAACACAAGACAGACGCCAATTATCAGCAAAGACAAATGAGAAAGCATGGCGGCGGAAACTGGAGACGGAGGGAGTCAATGGACAGAAACTGAGGTTTTGGACTTGATTACCATATAGGGAGACAATTCTATTCATGCTAAATTTGAAGAGTCGTATCGTAACCGGGCTGTGTTCGAGTGCATTGCCAAAGAAATGGTTGAACGAGGGCAAAGGCGAACGTGGCTACAGTGTCAGAGGAAAGTGAAGAGCCTCAGAGCCAAGTTTAAAGAAAACACAAACCGGACGTGATCGAGTCACCTGCCCGTTTTATGATGAGCTTCGCCGTGTTTTGGGCGACAAACCCAGCTGTCAGCCAGCTGTCACCCAGCTGTGCATGCAGGCTGCTTTGAGGGCCGTGAACCGTTCGCACTAGAGCGCGTTTGCTGTCACATTTTAGTTGTAGTTTTAACAACGAGACAAAAAAAATGATCAAAAAATCGGAATTGAGCATTAAGACCTGCAGTGTGAACGTAGCCTTAGAGATTAAAGGAGTAACTAAAAGGCAGTTTAATTAAACTTCTTTTTTTAAAAAAAGAAAAGTAAATGAAATTATATTAATAATATTAAATAAATGAGCTGAATTAAAAGTCTTGGGCTGTTTATGTTTAACTGTCAACATCTACAATTAAAATATTAATGGAAAATGAATGTGGAGTGTTGGCGAAACATCTGGTTACCGTTTTACATTCAGTCAACCATGTGATTACTCAAAGAAGCTCATCTACAAGTACTGCTGAGATTGTCAGAGCTTTGTACTAAATTAGTGATTAACAACTTTTCACACTGTATCTTCTCTAGGTCACACATGATGCCCAAGATGTTTTGTATGATGAAACTCATTCGTAGCATGATAAATCACTGAAGCTTGTTTACTTCCTGATGCTACCTGTATTTCCATATGAAGTGCAGGTCAGAACTGATCTTAGAACAGTGAAAGCAGAGCCACTGGAAGCCTGTGTGGCAAGCTTCTACCAGATCTACCATCAGTTTACAGACCAAAAGTTTATCTACAAAGTACATGCGCAAACGACCAGGAACACGTTACTGGGCAAACTCTCAGTTTGCCCAGCTCCAGTTATCATTCACAGGAACCAGATTGCGCTACACTTTGCTATGAGATGAAATAAGCACAGCTTTGACAGATGACTGTAGCCACAAGGTGGCAGTAATGTCAAGGATAGATGCACTTATTAACTGACAGGCAAGGAGTTTTATGGCAGTGCTTTCTGATATCAAAGAAGAGGGATTGCTGTTTTCTAGTTTTAAATTGCTTTGCTTTTCCTGACAGAATACTACTGATAAAATATGAATTTATTAATTAACTGCTAACAAAAATATTACTTGTGGTTATTTTTGGCCTGTTTCTATCAATATTTCAAGCAGTAATGATGTGAAATCTTTGACAGCATTTTATTTCCTGTTCAGTTAACTGTCCTTGTACTGTGTCCTCAGCTTATCCTGTTAAGCTTTGCTGACATTTCAACTGTGGGCTGTTTCATTGAACAAAAACCTATCATCAGTATGCAGAGGTGTGAGGTCTCCCTCTACTGGTTTACCGAGGGGTTACTGTTGTTTATACATAATGTCTGTACTCAGTAAAACTCTTTGTTAATAACATGCCAGTATTTGAAATAAATGATACCTACAGAAGAAAAGCTATGTAACACTGAAATTCAAAGCATAATATGTCTTCAAACCATAGACAACCAGTGTTGGGTGAAGGAATTTAACCAGAAGAGAGCAAATGAGTTGAGCTCTGCAACAGAAAAGTTACAAAGCAAAGGCATGGGTGTTAGACAAGTGTGAAATAACACCACAGTGTGAAAGTATGTATTTGATCACTTTGCATGTATATTTCTTGTTTCTGCTAAGAAGGCGTGAAGAGTTTCCTTTGCCATTTCATAAGGTTGTGAATTATAAAGGAACATTAAATCAGCAATTTCACAAACTAAAAATCTCAAAAACATTATTTGAAATTGGTACATGGATTAACACTGTGTTGTGTCTAGAAGTGATAGTAATACATTTCAATCTGATCATTTTAATTTTTCAGGAAACGCAACATTAATCACAATCAATAGAATTTATGACATGACTAGAAAATCAAGAGTTGTTCTTTTTGTTGTCAGGACACACGAAAACGTATTTTCACTATTAAGCCAAGGTGCTACAAGATCGAGTTGTAGTTGTAGCTGAAGATGTTCATTCTCTCAAGGGAGAACTGACTGGATCCTCTGACATTTTGATATACAGCTGTGAGATTGCGCAAGTCGGTGTGTTTACTGTCATACTACTTCAGTTGTTGCATGTTCTTTCTCAAAAGTATATGTGAAGATCGTTCTAAACTACAGATAGAGTGTGAAAGTATACTATGGTGAAGGGTCAGAATATAAGCAAGAAGAAACATACAGAGGCTCTTCGTGGTAAAAGCTGCATCTGAGCTTGTCATGTGTGTAGTGACCCTTACTGTTGTTTCATTTCCTTGTGGTTACAATGACAATCTTTTCTTTTATGTTAAAACCTAACATCTAACCTCAACACAGAGGACTCACTGAGCAGTACAACAATCTTAATGTCTGTAAATGTGTTTTGAGCAATTAAGCTCAGATATATCAAATAAAATATTTATAGCTTAATTATACATTATAATGCCTGTCATGTCTGTGTTAAACTTGCATCAATTTGTTTGTAAACTTCTTTTTTTGGGTTATATCTATTTAAAAGAAAATATTACAGTCTCAGTGAAACTGAATTATTAGTTGGAGTATAAAATGACACGACTGGTTTTGGGAGTTTAAGTGTCACTAAATTGATACACAACTTCTCTCTCTGCAGTTCTATTGTAGTTACATCCTGCCTCATGTGAGTTTATGCATTCTTATCTGAATCTGATCAGTAACACCAAGCAATGGAAACTGAGTACAGTTTATTTGAAGCTGATCACTTACAGGAAACATGGTCATTCTAAACTGGGCCTATTTGCATCTTGGTAAAATAAAGGAGCTTGTCTGAAAGTTGCCTGCTGAGTCCACAGAGGCTGAATAGTAAAGAAGCATAGAAGCTATGTTTGGAGTGTAGGTGATGCTATAGGAGACTCTTAAGGTGAGCTGTGTTTAATTATTTCTAACCTGCAGTCAGTGTGACAGGACAGTTACTGAATACATTTCGATATCCTGTGTTTTCTACATAAACACAAAGCTGAGAACAAAAGTTGAAAACCAACTCAAAGCTACTTTAAAGTCATCACCTCAGTGATTCGTCAGTAAAAACATGAACAGGGTTTGGTGAATCAGCCGGCAATTCCAAAAGTTGAACAATACTGCTTCACAGTTCCATGCTGTTGCAATGCTTTGCATCTCTTTTTTTTCTTTCTATATTGTTTATTTCTCTTCCTTTCATGCAACCCTAAGCACTCAAAAAGGCATCTCTCCCTCACAGCCTGTAAAGACTGCTAAGCAACAGCGCTCTCCCCCCAGGACACTTCTAGACTATTTGTGAATTGTTGCCTGTGCTTTCTAGGAAGAAAACTCAAGACTGTTGTAAACAAGAGATATTGTGTGATAATCACCCTTTAAAAGTTTCGCTTTAGTGACACAGTGTTGTCTAGACTCAGTTTTGCAAGTACAATTAAAACAGGGAGAGGAAAATGAGAAGGAGAAGTAAGACAGTTTAGCTTATTTTATTCTTTTTACAAAAATAATGTGTCTACATTATCACCCATTTACTGTTTCAGTGTGAACTAAAGGTCCCAGCAGATTTATAACCAGATTTGCTCATAATTTCATTTCATTTTTAAAGTGCATTTTTTTAAAATTACTTTTCAAGATTCAAACCACAGCGTGGATGAATAAGGATCATGGAGCAGTTTCTCACCCTTTTGCTAGTAATAGCAGGAACTCATGGTAAGATTGTCCTCAAAGAGATGCCAAATATGTACATTTGAAGTGTGAATAATTTAAGCTCACAATCTTTTGAATGCATCTTTTCCAGCTTTCTTTCCAGTTGGTGAGACTACATGTAATCTCACCAAGAACACATGCCCGTGCACTCCTCTGACTGAAGGAACTGTGTATATCCAAGTGATTACTAATGCTAGTGGTAAACAATCGAAGTGGCAAGTTTTTGAAGGTGCTTCCCAAGGGTAACATAACTGTGTTCAGTCTGAAGAAAGAAAAAATAACGACAACAGACAAGGAATTTAACAACAGACTACAGTTTATAATCGAGAACAGGACACTCAAGATCACAAACATGCGGAGGAATGATTCAGGTCAATATACTGTTGAGGTCTTTAATTCCAATGGAGTCCAAGAGAAAAACATTAATTTCACCCTGGATGTTAAAGACAATGGCAAAGTTGAAGGCAAGTTATGTAAGTTACTTATGATTTTATA